TTAAGAGGAACTGCTGCAACTCCAGCAGTTTCTTCCACTGACTCAATGCCCACTGGTTTTTGCAGTCAAGTGTTGTGGGGACTTATCTTCTGGGCACTGGAGCCGTGGGCTGGGGGACCTGGTATGGGTCTGGGGCTGCTTGCTCCCAGGACATCCCTCCTGAATTTTTATCCATGTGGCTGTGGGACCAGCCCATTCCATGTCTGTGCCTCTCCTGCCAGTCTGGATGGATGTGGCTTCTTTAATTCTATAGTTATCAGACTTCCATTCAACTCCATTTTGTAGTCGTCAGACTGCCATTCAGCCTGATCTCTAACATTCCTGAGTGATGGTTGTTTTATATTTTAGTCATAATTTTGATGTGGTTGTGTGAAGAGGCAAGCCATGTCTCCCTATGCTGCCATCTTGACTGGTAGTCATCTAAAATAATATTTTTAAAGCTGTTAATTATAGTAAAATTTTGTTCTAGACAAAAGTGATACACATTTGTAAATATTGATATATACTATTTACATATATTAAATGTATATATTTATGACATAATAAATATACATTTAGCTTTTCAAGGTCTAGAAACAAATATAAAAGCATAAGGCCAAAACTAGTAGTGATGAGTGACTTAAAGTTCTAGAAATTGTGAAGCCACTTTTCAGTAAAAACAGAGCCTCTTATAAATTCTAAACTTGTCTTGCTGTTAATTTCATCTCCCAAATGCTAACTAATTTGAAATAAATAATCAATCAAAGTGAAAGCTTGGGACATCTGGAGGACAGTGACTGTGCCAGCAGAGAGGGAATGCTGAGTACATGAGGAAGGTATTTAAGGCAACAACAAGTCATAGAAAATGACTGGTTCAAACTTAATCCAGAGGGGAAAGTGAGCCAAAGATTCAGGAGCATTCCCCACAACCAACAGAAGGAAAACTTTTGGGTCTCATAAGGGACTCATACCAGGAACTAGACATCTCTCGGGCCCGAGGACACTATCTGTTCTTCTGGGATGCCCAGTTTCCCATTTGTTCTGCATCAGATTGTTTCAACCACCAAGGGTTTAGGTGTAAGTGAGATGCTCCTGGGGGAACTTAGTTGCTGGGAAATGAGAAGGTCAGGGGTATAAATTAGACCTCAGGGTTTGTTCTACTTTAATCAATGGATGTGGACTTTTGTACTTGGACATTGATCAGTTGATGATTATAACCTGTGGAAAGAGGGGTGAGGGCCATGAAGGGAAACAAAAATCCCAGGGGTTTCTAGCTCTCCAGATGGTTGGGTGTCTTTGGCACCCAAGGTCAATCCTCAGAAAGTCACTGGTGAGGGTGGTGAACAACAAGGCTTGCAGAAGCTGGCAATGGCATGCACAGAGCTGCTGAAAGAGCCCAAAGGGGTTTGGGCAGGGAAACAAGTATGTCTGCCATAGTATATCTGCTTCTTTCCCTGTGCCTGCTCTGTTCTTTCTGAAAACCAGATTTCTCAGCTGTCTGCCTGCAATGGGCCAGATGCGGCTATTGCAGGCTCTGCTTCTTACCATTTCCCATGCAAGTGTCTGGAAGAGACTGAGAGTCTCTGCTTCCCTATTCCATCTTCCCTGGAAAAATAATCTACAAACTTGTTTTGACCAGATATTTCCAACTAAGACCAACTGACTTGTCATAGGGCCAAGGATGGTCCATAGATCAACCACTGAGTCAGGGTCTTAGCTTGTGTGTGTGATGTTGGGGCACAGGGGTAAACACAGCAACAAAATTGTCTGAAAGGGTCAGAGTAAACCTGGCCAACCCTGCACTGGATTCTCTGCTCTGGGCTCAGTCAACTTCATACCCTAGATTTTAGGAAAGAAGATGTAAAAAATGTCCAGATGGAAGAAATAGATCTGATTCCAGACCCAGAGGCTCTAAACACTTAGTTGCTCAAGAGGGATAAAGGCTTACCAAAAGCAAAATTCTGAACAAGCAATTACCAATGATGGGGTTTTTTTCCTGAGAAAAAAAATGGGAAGATATCTTGTTGCGCGTAGGTCACCAACCAGCAGTGACCACGGAACGCTGTGGATGGCTCGACGATAAACACGTGAGAAAAAACATGCACAGAGACAAACTAGTTTCTGTGGAGAAGTAGGGACGAAATGGCCACCCCTTCTAGTGAGGAGCGCGCCGATTTACAGTCCATACCTGCTTTTATTGGGCTCATGCTACATAATAACTCAGGTAAAGTACAATACTCATTAGGGGAAGTAAGGAACCATAGAAAACAAAGAACTCTGCCCGTCTATTGAGTTGGGGGTCAAAGAGCTGTAAGGCTGAGGAACAAACTAGCTTCCTCCTAAGACCCTTCTCATTCAACTGAGAGCACTCTTGAACAAAGAAGGTTTCACAGTAATTTACATGTTCTTTCTTAGGCCTGATCACCCCGGGAAATCCGCACTTCCCAGTACCGAGCTGTACTACCCCGTCATTGTTTCAGGCTTAGGTGGAGCACGGGAACTAAGGCCACCGAGAGATAAGGAGATTTTCTTCCGGACGCTGAGAACTCAGACTTTGTCAAAGCCGAGGAGTGAGGGTCCATCACCCCCTTTTGCTGCAGCCCCCCCCCCAAGTCCTTCTTTTGGGGGGGCCTCCCAAAGTGATCGTGCCTGGCTTGGGTTGTTCCCTCCGTGGGGAATCTTACCCGTCTTTGGCTAACCGACCAAGCTTTTTTGGGGTTCAGCAGCAGAAGCAGCATTCCTGCCAGGGAGATAAGCTTTTGTCTCCTTGCTGGCTCACGGTTCCAAGGGCGTTCCCTTAGCCTTAGCTAGGCGGGGGTTTCAGCTTCTGATACCAGTCAGGGCAGTTCCCAACAATATCTAAAGAAAGTCAGGTTGTAGGAATGAGTGACACCAATATAGACAGATTATAGGTGATTGTGTACACAAGACAGAAGGATGTATACAGAATCAAGTCAGTGAAAGTTATGGAACAAAAAAGTAGTACCAGGACCCAAAGAACAAAATATTCAGGATCTTAAAAAATAGGTGCATTTGAAATTAAAAGAATCACTGAGAAACAACTCACTGCTTCATACTGTGGTATAACAATAAAAGAATAATGTGAGAATGCATGCGTTTTCAAGACATATTTGTTAAGTGGAGAAAGCAAGTTCAAAACAGTACAGACAGTGGGATATTTGGTAAATGTATAATCATGCTTATATTTATTTATTTAAAAAGAGAGAGAGATCTGGGTGTTGAGTTTATGGGTAACTTTTTCTTCTCATGGTCTACCTTTTTTCACGATTTAAAAAAAAAACTATGAACTTTCATTGTTTTTATAATGGCAAATAAAGTTAAACAATGAAAGAGAAAAGGAGAGCTACGTAATTTCAATTTCATTTTTTTAATAAGAAATTTTTCAAATGGAATGTGGAGAACAGACATCCTTAAGAGTATACAAAGTTCTGGACAGAGGAGGAGTAAAGATAAGATCCATTTGTTTTAAATGAGTTTAAGATTCCAGACTCAGGCAGATTATTCCCCAGAGTCCTGCTAAAACTTTAAAATTATGTCCCTGAAACCACTGCTAATAAAGTAGACAAATTCAGGGAAGCAACAAAGATAAAAGATGGATCAGTGAAAAGAAGTTAAAGAGGCAGAATTTGCCTTAAATTAGAGCTGCTCATAAAAGGCATCATTTGTCCCCAGTGAACAGCTGTTTTCTGTGCCTGGACACGATGGAGCAGGAGCTAAGTGAAATGTGTGTTCTACATGATGGGAGTTTGGACCAGATCAGGATGCTTGAAGAAGGTTTGATGGCCCTTACCAGTGTGGCTCAGGTGGTTGCACATTATTCTGCAAAACAAAAGGTTGCCAGTTCTATTCCTGGTCAGGGGTACATGCCTGGGTTTTGGGTTTTGTCCTTGGTCTGGACACAGATGAGAGGAAACCAATTGATGTTTCTATCTCACATTGATATTTCTCTCCATCTCTTTCTCACTCCCTTCCCCTCTCTTTAAAAATAAATAAATAAAATATTTAAAAAATGATTAGTGGACCACAACATTCCCCTGATAAACCTAAAACTAATCTAAAAACACAAGTTCTCTCTTGATTCTTATGAATGATTAATGCACAAATCATTGGTTTTCATTTTACGAACGACACAGGGTCACTTATACATAAGGTATGTGACAAGATGACTTATTGGGGTCTCTTCCAACTTCCCAAACGTCACCCCTCCCATTCCACTAAGATGGGTAGGACCTTTGTGCCCCCTCAGCTCCACAATTAATCCTGTGCCTCAGAGGAAGTTGGGGGCTACTGTACCAAAAATAAAATTACTCGAAAGATGCTTTACCTCTTGATCTTTATTTTTCTAAACACCAGAACTCACCAGATAAATCATGCTCTCATCCTTTGAAGACACCAATGGGAAGAGGAGCATCTTAGAGGCAAAGGCAGGGCAGAAGGAGGGTCCTTCCAGCCTTTTGAAATGTGTGTTCTACATGATGGGAGTTTGGACCAGATCAGGATGCTTGAAGAAGGATTGATGGCCCTTACCAGTGTGGCTCAGGTGGTTGCACATTATTCTGCAAAACAAAAGGTTGCCAGTTCTATTCCTGGTCAGGGGCACATGCCTGGGTGCCTGTGCTCCCTGTGGAGAGTGTTGAGATTTAGGAAGGGTTTGGGAGGTGGACCCTAACTACCAGGCTCCTGGCCCCAAGGAAGCAGAGGCTTAAAGAGACTATGATTGGTTTAGAAAATGGAGATGACAAAGAGGACACAAAACCCAGGAGAGTGGACTTGCAAGTTCTCTGCCCCACATGTATTTTTTCTAACTTCTGTTGAGAGTCTGGGAAGAAAGGAGAGAGGACTTAATAACAATGGAAATTTAATTTCCCTCCAGCCAAGGAGGCTGGAGAGTTGTAAGATTTAGTCTGATATAAAGAACTAAAGAAATTTGTTACCTTCTCAAAGAGGCTGCGGAGTGGGTCAGTGGTGGTGTCCATGTAGCTTCTCCAGCAGATGCAGAGATGCAGTTCTTGGTGAAGACCCTGACTGTCAAGACCATCATCCTCAAGGCTGAGCCCAGTGACACCACTGAGAAGCCCAAAGCTAAACTTCAAGACAAGGAAGGCATCCTGCCTGACCAGTGGTGTTTGATTTTTGCAGGCAAAAAGTTGGAGGATTGCTGTACTCTCTCAGATTACAACATTCAGAAGGAACCCACCCTACACTTGTGTTTCACCGGTGGGGTAGCATCATGGAGCCCTCCCCCCACCAACTCATCCAGAAGTACAACTGTGGAAAGATGATCTGCGACAAGTGCTATGCCTGCTTGCACCTCATCAATGTCAACTGCCACAAGAAAAAGTGTGGCCACACCAACAAATTGTGACCCAAGAAAGTTAAATAAGGCCCCTCCACCACCTCCTTGGGCCCACAGGATGGCTTTCTGCCTAAACCCTGTGACCTGGGTTCTCAATAAAGTTTCCCTTTCATTGACTAGAGAGGAAGGAAGGAAGGAAGGAAGGAAGGAAGGAAGGAAATGAATTATTTTTGGAATACCTTGAATTTCTGAACTAAGCTTTATACCTGTTATTCTCACTAGGTGTGGTATGGTTACCATTATTAGAGTTGGAAGTGATGTCAAAGCTCTTGGTAAGTTAGCAGCAAGTGTACGTACTTGAATAGTTGGCATCCCTCCAGGAACAGGATGCTATTTATCAGGGCATTAACAGTACTTTCTTAAGTAGAACATGTTCTCCAACTACTGCCATTCCTGCTTTATTTATTAATTGCTGTTAGTTTATCCACATCATTTTCCATTAGTTCCATGACAACAAACTTCCATCACAATCATTACTTATCCCAATGTTCAGATTACCCCACATTTGACCACTGGGAACTCCTTCAACTTGGTCCCTCTGTTCCTTTGATATATCCCCATTAGTATTTAAGCCACTTTTTTACTTAATGGCACAGGATGTTTTGGGGTCACTTTGTACTTTCCCTGCTCCAGCCCTGGAGTCAGCCATTTCCAAAAAACCCTAGTTCCTTTTAGTAGAGAGTGGTATTTAGAAACCAAGATCTGCACTCTGCATGTGCTCATCATTCCTGGTACATCATTGCTTCCAGGCCCTCTCAGCAGATAGAGTTAGGAAATGTGTGTGAGTGTGTGTACATGCGTATACATCCATACATATTACATGAACACATATACATATAGGTATATTTCTATCTATCTATATAAAACCATGAGTTTACTGATACCTCCACTTCTAAACCCATACCACAGAGCACACATTGTAGTCTTCCCTCTGTCCACATTCATAATTCCCTTCTCCAACAGTGAGAAGCCTAGCTCTCAGTATCCTGAATATATCCTATTTATTTGCTCAAGACCTGAGTACACAGAAAGTAATTTCAGAGTTACTAACCTATACCGCTATGAGAGGTAAATCTACCAGCTAGAGTTAAATATGTCTTTACAGTTTCTTTTAGGTAAAATTTACACCCAGTGAAATGTATACATATTAAGTGTACAATGCAATGTGTTTTGGTGAATGCATAAATCCAGTTATAGAAGATTTCTGTCACTCAGGAAATTCTCTCAGGCTCCTTTGCAGTTACTTTTCATACCCCATCAGAGATAGCCACTGTTCTGATCCACACCCATAGATTAGTTTTGCCTTTTCTATAACTTCATATAAGAAGAATCTTCCAGTATGTACTCTTTGGTTTCCAATCTATTCTGCTTAGCATCATGTCCATAAGAGTTGCCCATGTTGTTGCATGTATAAATGTTCCATCCTGGAACTTTTGGTCAAGATGGAGGCATGAGTAGACATGCTTTACCTCATCACATAACCACAAGAAGAATTACAACTAACCTCAGAACAAATAACACGCAGAACTGCCAGAAAAACAAACTGGATGGAAGTCTGACAACCAAGGATTTAAAGAAGCCACATTCTGCCAGATGGGTAGGAGAGGTGGAGGTGCAGATATGGGGGCAGAGAGGTGAGAAGATGCGATATGGCACAGAAAGGTGGTGGTGGCAGAACAGGTGCCCCCACATTTAAGTGTGATGGATAAAAATCAGGAGGGATACATTGGGACTGAGCAATTCCAGCCCCAGGCCAGACTGCACAGCCCAGGGTTCCAGCACCAGGAAGATAAAGGCCCAGAACTCCTGGCTGTAAAAACTAGTGAGGATTAAGGCAGCAGAAGAAACTGCTGGTTTCTCAGGAGAGTCTGTTTATAGGGCCACACAGACTTAGAATGTCTGCAAACCCATCCATTCTGGCATTCACCACCAGGGCAACACCAGGAAGGGCACCACTCACCTACAGGAAGTGGGACATGAGGAGAGTGCCAAGCAAAATTCTAGAAACCAGGCAGCAGCATTGTTCCCTCTCTAAGCCCTCCCCACACAGAGCCACAAGTACTGAAGTGAGTTGCCTCACCTTAGCGAATACCTAAGGCTCAGCCCCATAAAACTGAACAGGTGTGCTAAGACAGGGAGTCACAGCATCTCCTCCTAATACACAGAAACAAATACAGGGAGGCTGTCAAATTGAGGGGACAAAGAAATATGGCCCAAATGAAAGAGGAACAAAACCCCAGAAAAAGAACTAAGCAAAATGGTGGTAGCTAACATATCAGATGCAGAATTCAAACCCCTGGTGATCAGGATGCTCCGAGAACTCACTGAGTATGGCAACAATATAAAGGAAGAAATGAAGGTAACACCAAATGAAATAAAGAAAAACCTACAGGGAACCAACAGTGAAGGGAATGAAGCCAGATTCAAATCAATCATTTGGAACATAAGGAAGAAATAAACATTCAACTAGAACAGAAAGAAGAAACAAGAATTAAAAAAGTGAGGATAGTATAAGAAGACTCTGGGACATCTCCAAAAGTGCCAACATCCAAATCATAAGATGCCAGAAGGAGAAGAGGAAAAGCAAGAAATTGAAAACTTAGTTGAAAAAATACTTCCCTAATTTGGTGAAGGAAACAGACATGCAAATCCAGACACTCAGAGAGTCCCAAAGAAGTTTGATCCAAGAAGAAACAAACCAAGACACATCGTAATTAAGTTCCCCAAGATTAAAGGTAAGGGGAGAATCTGAAAAGCAGCAAGAGAAAAGGAGGCAGTTACCTACAAAGGAGGTAAGACTATCAGCTGATTTCTCAAAAGAAACCTTATAGGCAAGAAGCAGCTGGAAAAAGTATTCAAAGTCATGAAAGGCAAGAACCTACACCCAACATTACTCTATCCAGCAAAGCTATCATTTAGAATGGAAGGGCAGACAAAGTGCTTCCCAGACAAGGTAGAGCTAAAAGAGTTCATCATCACCAAGCTCTTATTATATGAAATGTTAAAGGGACTTATTTAAGAAAAAAGAAGAACATCAAAACTATGAACATTAAAAATGACAACAAACTCACAACTATCAACAACTGGATCTAAAAAAAAATTTTTTAATGAATTAAGCAGACAACCAGAACAGGAACAGAATCATAGATATGGAGATCATTTGGAGGGCTATCAGCTTGGAGGGAGAAGGAGGAGAATGAGGAAAAAGGTGCAGGGATTAAGAAGAATAATTGGGTTGGATCTACTCCTGTACTGATATGCCAAGGATTTGGAGGAGGTCTATGGAAGCATCAATTTACCAACATTCCAAACTTGGAACTTAGAGATAGAAAGCAGCCCAGGAGTTCTGGCCACAACTTCTTGGAGACATAGGTAGAAACGCTTCACTTCCTTGCACAACCAAAAGAAGGACAACAACAAATTTAAAAACAAAAACCAACCAGAACTGCCAGATATTCAAACTTCACGGAAGTCTGACAACCAAGGCATTAAAGAAACATTCACCCAGACTGGTAGGAGGGGCAGAAACAGGCAGCTGAGGCAGGGAGGACGCACAGCCAAGGAGGTGGCTGGACCAGTTGGACCAGTTGGTCCCACATTCGTGGGCCGATAAGCTGGGAAGAACCATTGGGAAGTGAGACAGACAGCAGAACCCAGGGTTTCAGCATGGGAAACCAAAGGCTCAAAACCTCTGGATGTAAAAATCTACGGGAGTTGTGGCAGTGGGAGAAACTCTCAGGATCACAGGCGAGTCTGCGGGAAAGGCCCACAGGACCCTAGAATGGACACAAACCCACCCATCTGTGAATCGGCATCTGAAAGGCTACAATCCACTTGTGGGAAGTGAGGAAAGTGAGGGAAAGTAGGGCTGGAGCAGAGCGAGTAAGTGGCATTGTTCCCTCTCTGACCCTTTCACTACTGACAGCTTCACAACACAGCAAAGAGGATTGCCATGTGTTGGGAACTGCCCTGCCTGGTTTCAGAAGCTGTAATCCTCCATGGCTTAGGCTGAATAAAAAGACCTTGGGACCCTAAGCCCCTAAGAAGACAAAGTTTATCCTCCTGGCAAGAGTGCCACCTCTGCCCCCTTTACTTCACCCTGCTTTGCCCTGAGAGGATGACCGGTTAGCCAATGACAGGTAAGATTCCTCAAAGGAGGGAGGACCTTTGAGGAGAGACAAGCATGGTCACAAAGGGGCCCTCAGGGAAGGGTTGGGGAGCTATAGAAAAATGGGTTGATGGATCCTCACCCCTCAGCTTTGACATAGCCTGAATCTTCATTCTGTCTGTGGTAAGTCTCCTAATTTCTTGGCTGCCTTACTTCCCCTGCCTGACTTAAGCCTGAAAGAATTCCAAAAGTGAATGCAGTCCTGTGCTGGAAAGGGCAGGTTCCCTGGGATGATCAGGCCTACGAAAGAATGCATAAAATTCTATGAAACCTACTTTGCTAATACCCTCACTTTAAATGATAAGAGTCCAAGCATAGAATGATTTTGCTTCCCCAAAGTTTTATGGCCCTTTAGCTATCTGACCCTGACTCAAAATAAGCCCTCAGAGTTCTTTGAGTGTTATCTATTGTTTGATACTTACTGCCTGACAATGATTGATGAGTTTTACGTATATGCCCTGTATTCCTATGCAAAGTAAACCCAATAAAAGCTCATTGAGGAGCAGGCTCCTGGCCCTTCCCCTTTGAAAGATTGACCACCTTTTCTTCTCAAGCAGATCCTGTCTTGGTAGACTTATTCTTATACTTGGTGGCTGGTGCCGGGGTTAGGGGTAGGGGTCTGTGGGAGAAGCCCCTCCACAGCCCTGCCCTGGTGAATAACCCCTGGTGAACTTCCACCCCTTATAACATAACAGGTGCCGCCAAGAAAAAGAAACATGGCCCAAATGAAAGGACAGATCCAAACTCCAGAAAAAGAACTAAGCAACAAGGAGATAACCAACCTATCTGATGCAGAGTTCAAAACACTGGTAATCAGGATGCTCACAGAAATGGTTGAGCT